TCTCCAGTTTTATATTATGATTTTTAAAATGAAACAAAAGTCTGTATCACACTCAGTGAGGCCACACAGGTCTAAATGCTTTTCTTCAGGTACTTACATAGTTTGTCGTTCGCTCCTTTTAGGTTTTTGCTTAGTATTATTCTCTTCGGACAGAGCTCTGATAATTCTACATAACAGCCTCTATCGCTCTATGTTGTTACCCTGCTTAGAGGTGATTGTACCTAGAACTGATGGACATTACATTATATGTGTACCTGTGTTACTTTTCCCTACTAGAACATAAACTACACGAGGGCAGGAACTTTGCCTTATCCATTCAGGTATATTCAGTACCTAGACCAACACTTGGCACATCCATTCCAATTATATAAAGTCGTTAACATTGCCAAAATCATTCCTGTATCTCACAACACTGTTATTTTGTCTTTCTTTGGATTTTTTTTTAAATTAAGCTTGTCTGCTTTACAGGGGATTAAACATCTTCTCTTTCGTCTTTTAACACAAAAAGAGGTTACTGAAAAATTTGCCATCTCCATCTGTCTCTGTTATCAGTATGGAGAAAATGAGTCAGCTTGAACAGATCTTTGTTATGACCATAAGACATTCATTCTTGGGGAAGGGTAGAACTGTGCTTTCCAAAATGTTTCATATGCATCAGAAAAAAACAATGTTATTATTGATGATCCCAAGTGTGTAAGGGTACCTCAATCAGGCTTGGTTAACAAAATTAACTGTATTTTTTCTTATATAAAAGTAAATATTTATATACCCATGTGTGTATATATATAAATTAATAGAGAACAAATTAAATAATAAATAATAAATAATAAACTTGTATAATATTTCAAAGTAAAATAAAACTTCAAATTTAAAATAAATAACTTGAATTTTCCTTTGTGGACATGGCTTTTTCATCTCAGGTTTTATATTTGAGATGTCCATATGCAATCCTGATGAAGACATTTCAGGATAATCTCATCAAACTCCCAATCATTCCTGTAGACAAGACATTTTTAACATAAATAAATGATAAACTTTTTGAAAAAATATTTTTACCTTACAAATCAGTAATTGTTATTTGTACCAGTTTAATTGGTACAAATCAAAACCTTACAATTGGAATTATATTTAAAGAATGGAACAGCCTTCTTTTTTTTCCATTAAGATGAAGGGATTAAGAGGTACGCATTGGCAGTTACAAAATAGCCACGGGGATGTACAGCATAGAGAATATATGTACAGCATAGAGAATATAGTCTATAATATTGAAATAAGTATGTATGATGTCAGGAGAGTACTAAACTTATTGGGGGATCGCTTCGTAAGTTATATACCTGTCTCATCACTATGTTGTACATCTGAAACTAATATAATATTGAATGTTGACTGTAATTGAGAAGAAAAATAAAAAAAAACAATCATGAAGTTAAAATGGACTTCAAATTATACTGACTATTTTCATGTCAAATATAGTATATCAAATAATCTCAGAACACTGGTTTTCAGAATGGCACCTGCATGGTTAGAATTGTCAGAGCAGTCACCTTGTAACTAGCTTGGATGTTACTCAAGCTCACACAAACTATGAAAGGCAGTATATACTTGAAGACGGAACTGTGCCCTCCAGGACACTCCATCTGACCCCCAGGGACATCCACCTTCCATTGGTCCTACCTGGGTTGTCCACCATAGTTGTGCTTCTTGAGCACCCAAGAAATAAACTCCAGTAGCTCATGGACCCCTGTCCATGAGAAGTAGCCTACTATGCAGGTAGCTACTGAGATAGATTTCATATGGTTGAGCATGTTAAGGTTGAGGCAAAGCAGTGACTTCCACTACCTTTCACTGTGTAGCAATCTGAAGGTTCATAGTAGTATACCAGCAAGTTTTCTCATGGCAATCTCCTGGAAACTCATATGAAATTGTCTGCAGCTGGAGGTGATTGACTGAGCTTGAGCTCTGCCTAAAGCCTCCCCTGACTGCCCTGACAGGGAGAAATTTGTCTGTAGCATTCATGACACCTCAGTGTGCTTTGGTTTATTCATGTGTCTGACATACCGGTTTTGAATTTCTAGGAAAGGAAACAGAAGGCAATTATTATTACATATAATATCCTTGAGGGGTGAAGGAACGGCAGGGGTGTTATCATGCAGGTATGTCACTAATACTCATCAGGAAATTTCAGATTGACTGTTTAATGGTCACCTTGCTGGGGGAGGTTGAAACTGCAACTAAACCTTGGTTTGCTGGTGTAGGGGCAAATGACTCCATGTGGGGCCTGTTATTTCTTTTTTTAACAGGTGTAACTCTGCGTTTTAGATCTAGTAATGAGTTAAAAGTAGCCACAGAGTGACCATGCCCTCTACTTATAAGGGCTGAGGCATTGCTTTGGAGTCTGGTTTCAGCATCCACACTTGGCATAGCTGAATTTCAGCTCTAGTCAAAAGATAATTGTATCTAAGTTTCATCCTTTCTTTACACTGAATGAACCAGTGAGCACTGGGCTTCCTTCCTCCCTCCTTTCCTTCTTTTCTCCTATCTTTCCTCCCTTCCTTCCTTTCCTTCCCTTCCTTCCTTCCTTCCTTCCTTCCTTCCTTCCTTCCTTCCTTCCTTCCTTCCTTCCTTTTTTCATCCTATTTTTGTTGTTGTTATTGCTTAATATTATCACAGAAAAGTCACCAAGCAAGAAGAGTTCTCTCGATAGGACTCAATCTACTTAATTGTAAATATTAAAATATATGTGAGCCTTTGCAGCTTAATGCGATCACACACACAGTTTTCCATTTTTAACATTTTTATTTTTGTTTGGAACTGAAAAAATAGTGTAATATTCAAAATAAAAATTTAAACTATTTGTAAATTATTCTAATACTCAATTTATAATAGCATTTTAACAATATTTGTATAATTATTTATGAAATTTCACCAAATAGGGTCCCCATTCATATATATATCATATAGTCATTATAAACACAAATGTACTCTTTTATATTTTATTTTTAACTTGTTTTTTTTATCAGCCAAAGAATATTAATTCAGAGCCCACCGACAAACTAGAAATATCAAGATGTATTAAGTATAGTTCTTATAAAGCTCTTATTAACTTGCAGAAATACATACATATACTTACAAAGCTTAGGACTATAATACTGTTATCTAGGGTGAGGAAGCAGTGTAGAAAAGAGAGTAACTAAGTTACCCTGGGTGTAAGGTGGGCAGGGATCACAGTAGGCTTTCCTCAAAGGGACTCCATGAACATCACAGGGTTAATTATTTTAAAAAGTTAAATGGATATCCATACAAAATTATAAGTGAACATTAATCACTCTAGAAAGCAACTGGTTTCAATTTTATCTTTTTCAAACTAACGGATTGTATTATTATGTATGGTTACTGCAGTTCTACCAAGAATCAGAATTTTGTTTTAAAAACTTAAAAAGAACCCTAAAGCTTACCTCAAAAAATTAAGTAGGCAGGAATATCCAAGAAAAGCAATCTGAAAGAAAGAGTTACTAGAAGGTTTAGGTGGAATGTCGTTTTGGTACTCGGCAGTCAGTCTAGGTCTGAGCCCATCAGCATCTGACATTCCCCTGGCAACGTAATTAAATCAACACTGAGTCATCTGGAATGAGCAAGTTGATGAGACAAAAAGAAAAGACAAATTCTATAATTAGGGGTGAATTTTTCTCTATATCTCCCTTATAAATGGACAAGTAAGCTCTTTCTGTTTATTTATTTCGCTGTGCAATTTTAAAAATAATTGGGGTAAAATATACATTAAAAAAAATTGTCACCTCAACTATTTTTATGTGTACAGTTCATAGTGGTAAACGCATTCACATTGCTGTGCAACCATCTCCACAACTCTTTACGACGTGCACAACTGAAATTCTATGCCTGTTAAATAACTCCCATTTCACATCTTGCGGTTCTGGCAGAATAAAAGGTTTCTAGTTTTCTTTATGAGATCCCCTTTATTTATCCATAGCACTGATGTGACCTTACAAAATGATCCTTGACATTTTTCTTATTTTGCATACACACTGCAGCAAGAAGGTTAACTCTCAGAGTGTAAATCCTCTTGAGTGACTATCTCAAAGCCTATGTTCTGTAATCCGCTGGGTTTTCTGACATCCTAACACTAGACAGAAGACGTCTGACTACCTCTTTAAATATTATGAATATTTTATAGATTTAATGAGGTTCACTGTCTCTGATAAAAAGCATAGTGACTATAAGGGTGTGGACTGTATTGTTACTATAGTAAACATTTGTGAGGAAACAAATTGCCCCCAAATGTTAAATAAAATGTAGTTGCAGCATCGAATATTACCTCCACTGCCACAGCCCTGCTTTTAGAAAGGTATGATAGTGTGGAAATATGTTCATTGAATATTGTTGAGTAAAAAGACCTGGTTACCAAATAGATAAACTCATTTTTATTTTAAAGAACAAAATTATGTGTGTCTGAATATACGCATGTATGTGCATGTGTATTGTATTATATATACACACACACATATATGTATATACACATATAGGTAGCATGGAGAGCAAGAGAGAGAGCGAGAGAGAGAGACAGAGACAGATACAGAGAGATAGACAGACAGATACAGAAGGACAGGGAGAAAAAGAAAGAGAAAGAGAACTGCATCTACCTTCTTCACTCAGCTTAATTTCAGTGCAGGGGTGAAGGCACTGGAAACTAAAAGCTGAGAGAGTACATAGTATGTTAACTCTGTCTTTGGGAGATGGGAATGTGGGTGATATCTGCTCTTTGCATTTTCTAATTATTTGACCATTATATGATTATATCACCTTTGTAATCTGTGTATTGTTTTAAAAGTTTTATATTAAAATTTGCGGTCATTTCTAATAAAGGGTAGATCAGCATAATATAATTATTTCAATTTTAGCCCATAAATAAAACTCATATCACAATTCCTAACATTATAAAATGAAATTTGGGCACACTCACTAAATAATATCACCCAATAAAATAAAGCTTGAATGGTTCATTTTATTTAACATTATATGAAAACGTGCTAGTAAAAAGCAGATATTACATACATTTTCTCAAATAATTCTTAAAACTACATTCTAAATTCAACACCAATTTAGTTCACTCAATGGTTAATATTATACCATTACATGTAACATATATGCTTAAACATCAAATCACATTTAATTTTAAAGTAAAAAGAACTTAGAGAAGTCTCTCGTTAAGCATTTATATAGCATTTATTATTCTGTCAGCCAATGTAACTAGGAGACAGGAAAATTGATAATATCTTCTCTGTGTGGAATGAATGAATTTAAATACTTATTAATACAGCACTATTGAAATTGTATCCAAGATTAAATCAGGAAAATATGTTTTCTGTATAAGTTAACCTTTAGGAACTATTTTGACTAACATGCAATTTTCTCGTTTTTGAAATTCCTTTTTTCTATTGTATCTTAACCCGTGACTCAGGACTTAAGAATCTACGTTTTTAAATGGTAGTTTATGTGCCCAAACGGCTTTAATCTGGTGGATAGTTATGAAGAATATAGTGGAAAAATAAGGAGACATCTGAGAAATTAAAAATCAACTACGTTAGTAATGTTGAAAGTTTGAAAAAGTTAGTGTAAAAACTTTATCAGATTATCAAAATAGTGGAATGGTATGTAGAGTATGACGGGGAAACCTGATACCTAAATTCCAACTCCAGATTTCTTGTAGTTAGCTGTGTGAGCTTGGGCAAGTCAAAGTCTTCAGGAATCAGTTTCCTCAACTTAGAAGAGAGTTTGGGCCAGGTTTATTAAATTATTAAAATCCCTTCTTGATGAACAGTAATATCACTCTAAAGTACATACAACTGTGGACACCTTATCAGCTACTGCTTTAGCAATGGTGAAAAAAATCAGTTTCAATACTATTTGAAGCAACAAATGTACTACTGACATTTTCAAAATGTGATGCACTGGAATATTATTATCCCCGAACAGGTATTTCTTTTATTAAGAAAACTGAAACCCCCTTCTGATCTAAAATGCCATATTGTTTCTGTTTATGTAACACTACTATTTTGTTGATTATTATGTAACTTAAATTCTGCACAAAACATTTTTTTAGTATTAATATTTAAATTTCTAGGGAAATTCCTACTTACTTTGAAGTGTCAGCATTTCAAGTGATAATACAGTTTGTAAAACTAATCTCTATATTGGCTTTCGGTGTCCTTAAATTAAAATTCCTTGGTATTGTAAATTAATAAAAACTTAAAGAGCAAATACCTATATTGACATTTGATACTTCTAAAGGAATATGGGAAATCTATACCCCTTAAATAGGTAAATATATTTAAGAGATTATCAAGCTTGATTCTTCCCTTTGGATCTTAGAACGTAAATAGTACTGTATTTTCACTTAGCTCCCAAATGTCAGCTTTATTTCTGCTACAGAAGAAGAGGTGATTTAATCAGTTAACTGAATCAGCACAGGTTGCTGTAAACAGGAAATAACATGTATTCTTTTATCAGAGTAAAACAAAAATCTCTATTTGAAGGAAATGATTTGGGTCTTTGCAAACATTTCAATTCCCTTTTCATCCTACCTCACAAGCAACACTAAGAAATTAGTATTTAGATTTTTTTTTTAGGAGGTCCCTAATACAGGTCACCTCTGTATTCTCTTTTGAGTGTTACACCCTAGGCTGGCCAGGAAAGCAGAGATTTCTTGTGTGCTAAAATGGGTAATGTCAAATAACCATTATCAACCCCATTTATGTTAACTTTCTCAGATACATGAAATGGGGAAATGTAGGGTCCATGATGGTAAATAAATGAAAACAGAGAGCATTTATTAAGTCCTTACTATGTGCCATATGTGCTACATTAATTAATTTCATTCAATTCTCACAACTAAGCAGTGATAAAGATAACATTAAATGTGATAAAATAGAAGAAAACGATCAAGAAGTTTAAGTAAATATTTAATGTGACATCTACGACACACGTTTATGATCTCACAGCCCTAAAAGTATCTGTACTTTTTTCCTATTTTTCCTTTTACTTCCCTAGAATTTGCAAATATCTTTTTAGTTCTAAACAGCAAATTCTATACATTAGGCACTTAATGATCTATTGTGGTAGGCATTTTGTTTGGCACTATGGGGAGCAAATGGATGAATGAGAGAGGCCCTAAATCCCATGTTGATGATACACATTGCTAGTAATAATGTCAGTCATAAAGTATTCTCCTAGTTCAGGCAGTATAAAAAGGCTTTTAGTTTTATTTATGAAATCTCTTTTATTTATCCATAGCATCGATGTGATCTTACAAAGTAATCCATGAAATTTTTATCTTGCACACACACTGCAGCAAAAAGGTTAGTTTGCAGAGCGTAAACCTCCTAAGTGACTATCTCGAAGCCTGTTTCATAATCTGCTGGGTTTTCTAACATTCTGATACTAGATACAAAGCATTTGACTAGTTCCTTAAATATTATAAATTCTTTTTTCATTTTATAGATCTAATGAGGTCTACCATCTCTACTAATAAACAGCCGTTTCTTAAGGGAAAGATAATCTCTGGATAATATTACATGACTGTACGATCTGAGAGGTAAGATGTGTTCTCAAGATTAATATAATACAGAGGTCTTGACAGACCACATGAAAGGCTACACAAGAGCATGAAACAAGCATGTGGATTCTGGAGAGAGGTTGCCTTAATCAGCTCAGTCACATGCTGAATGTGTGGCAAGTTATTTAATTTCTCTGAGTCTCAGTATTTTTATCTGCAAAATGAGGCTAATAACACCTACTCTGAATAGTGTAAAGGTGAGAAATAACATCTATAAGGATCCAGAAGAGAGGATGCTATAGGTGCTTAATAAATAGTAACTGTTTATTCTCATCTACCATTGCATCGTATCATTGGCTAAAGCAGCACTTCAACTCTGAGAGCATATGCTTGGCCTGTGACAAACTAGCTGACCAGTTCAAGTATGAGTCCAATTAATACAAGGATATGCAAAGATCTAAATAAATACTCTATGGACATTTTCTACAAATTATCTTCCCATACAGCCCTCTTCCAAATACAAGCTCTAAGGCTCTGGCTTAGTTAAGAGGATAAAAATTGCCTTTATCACATTTATGGCTTTAGTCTGGAAAACAATAATAGTGATAATGATCTTGAACTGTTGTGAAATTTCCAGAACTAATGTGTAAGTATGTCACTACCATTAAATGGACATCTTTTGGTATCACTGAAATAATAAAGTGAGATAGAATTTAGAAAGACAAATTTCAGAGGTCTGCTCATTATAAAGTGCCTATGATTGTCATGTAAGTCTGGGATAAAGTACATTCATATTGAAACACAAGGCAAACTTCTTAATTAAAATACCTCTATGATTGGAGTTCTACTGAATTGCTGCCTCGGTTGAACAAAATTCTAGCTTACACAGTGCAAATGCAACTGCTTTGAGCTAAAGATCAATTTTAGAAGAAATAATATATGCATACTCCCCAGCAATCATTCATTTAAATACCTGAATCCAGATGCACGATCATTTACAAATTCAATTATTCCTATAATTATTGTACCTAGGTAGTTTCCTTTTTATTTTTGAGAATAAATACACTTAAATAACGTGCACAGCTTAGTGAAAGTGACAATGGATCACCTCACTGTACGATTATCAGGACATGATAAAGGTTATGTATTTTAAAGGTAAGAGCAATGTGATGATTAGCTTTTCATTTGAGGCAGTTTACAGTTCAAAAAATGCTTTCAAGTCTTTCACCGATTAAGCTCCAAAGCATCTTTTTCAGTGTCAGTAGAAGTGACTAGCATTTAATTAAAATACTCTTCTAACTATAAATAATTGAATAAATAGTCTCTAACCTATGACTAACGTTGTTGAATTAATAACTAAATAATGTAAGAATTAGAATTATCAAAACACTTTTGAGAATGCAGTTCTGCTTGGAGGGCTCCATGGAGGAAGTGCCTCATTTTCAAGAAAGGAATGATGTTTCTTTTGTTTTCGTTCAATTCTTTCCTGCCTTTCTTTCTTTTCCTAAAGAGAAAATAGAAAACTACAAATTTATATACATATATAGACAGATGAACAAAATAATCCAATAAGATATTTAAAAGTCATTTCCTAGTTTAATTGGCTATAAAACAGCACCCAGGGAATATTGCAAATTTATACTACTAATAGGTATTAACGTACCACTTAATTTTTTAATATTAAAAGTAATATTTAAGAAGAATTATGTAAAACAGGAAAAAAAGGCCTATAATTGCATAACTCAAAGACAATAATTATCAGTAGTGATGACTTTGAGAGCAGATTCGCAGAAGGAAATTTACTGGGTACAAAGGTTGAATATGCCACTGCAGCATGGAAAACTTCAAATTTTTTACAAATAATTGAAAGTTGAGCCTCATGTTTCTTTGCTTATTATTGAGCTTGAGCACATTTTCATTTCTTAAGCCCTTTTGTAAATTTTTGGCTCAATAATTTGGCTCAACTAACTCTATGGGTATAGGTGCTTTTAATTTTTAGCAATTTGCATAGTTTCCTTTGATAAATATTATCTTTGCAGCAACCATTTTGTCAACATTACTTTTAGTCCTTGATTTTTACCAAAAAAATAAGATAATACTTCAGCCACAGACAACAGTTTAAAAGTGTTATAATCAAAAGCTGTGTAGCCACTATCTGACCTGTGAAATAAACATGACCAGTACTTTTGAAGCTCCCTATGTTGGCCCCCTCATCACTTTCCTGTCTCTCCACCCCACTGAAGTAACCATGACCCTGAATTTGATGCTTGTCATTGCAGTGCATCTCTTAATACTTTTATTATATATGTATTTATCCCCGAAACCACATAATTTTGTCTTTCCAGTTTTTAGAATTTATACTAAAAGGTATCATGCTATATTTTCTATTGCAACTTGCTTTTTAAAATTCATAATATTTCTGAGGTCCATCTATATGGAATTGTAGCTCTAGTTCACTGATGTACAGAATTCCAACATATTAATGTATCATAATTTATTAATCTATTTTTTTGTCAAAGATATGATGTTCTCATTTTTTATTTGCATGCCAAGACAATGTCGCCAAAAAAAAAAAAAAAAAAATCACTGTTCAATTCCTTGTGCACAGAAGCCAAGATTTTCTTTCCATGTGTGTGCCTAGGAGTGAAATTTCTGGTTTGTAGGGTATGAATATGTTCGACTTTGTTGGACAATGATGATTTATTTTCCAAAGTGGCTGTAAGAATTCAGCCTCCAACTAGCGCCTATGCTGAGTTTTCGTTTTGATATTTTAATGATTTTAAATTCAATATCTGTTCATGTTTTGTTATTTCTTATAGCACTTTTATGTTTTAAAAAGCATCTTATTATGAGATTTTATAAATACTGTTTTTTTTTTCTGTTTTATTGTTTACCATTTTATATTTAACACTTTAAATTCATTTGGAGTTTCTAGTGCTGTAAGGTAATTCTGTTAAGTGATTTATGTCCAAATGTCACACCAATAATCCCAGTTATTTCCTTGCATCTATTACATTGTGTTACTCTATTACATATGTAGCATATCCTTACATATAGGTTCTGAGGTGTCTTGTGTGAGTTCAGATTGTCTCTCCATTTCTCCAACGTTCTAACACTGTAAAGATTGGTGGTTTCCTGAAAGAGCAGCAGTACTGGGAAACCCTTGGACAATCCTGCTTCTTTTATCAATACATGTACGGAATGCATAAATATCAGGAGGATACGATAATGCAAGGTTTCCATTAGCATACAATTATTCACGTACAACAAAAAGAGTGAAGAGAGGTATGAGATTTTTTTCTATCTGTCTTAACATCTTGCTGTATAACGTCAGCACTTGTACACTTGCTACTCCTGGTAAAGCTAAGAGGGAATCTCCTTTTAGAATCATAATTGAGGAAAAAAAAAAAGCTTTAATTGGATCACTGTCAATAATTTTAGGATTTTAGAGAGAGACAGACCCTCTATCTTGGTGGGGGAAAAGCAACAACCAGGCTGTGTCCACAGAAACTGAACAAACCTTTTTTTTGTCTGTTTCATTCAGCGTGGGAAGAGAGAGAGAAACTTGAAACGAATTTGGTTTTACCAGCAGGCACTAAAAAGTCAGGACAGGAAATAAGCAATTAATTATCAATCTTAATATTAATTAATGTGGCTCAAAAATGTTATCTTGAGTAATAATTTTAAAAACCTTGTTTAAAAGTCCTTCTGACTGTTGTTTGTTAGAGGCTGAAACTTTTATTCATTTTCTTATTACAGGTAACTATGAATTAATCTTGAAACCAGCATGAAGAAGAGAGTCTTACCTGATCTTTGGCTACAACTTTCCCCTACAACGATAACTCATCAAGTGCTCACTACCCAAGCTAGGTTGTACATCAATATTTTGAGATGTTACTTTAATGAAAACTGAAGTCATTAAACTTCCATATAGGGGTATTTTTCCATTCTATCTGCAAACAAATTTCAATAAGAAATCGGTAAGATGGGGAGTAAATATGTAACATTTTGTCTATGGATGATTTTATAGGTAGCGCTATATTTGTAAAGGTTTTATTACATATCAAAACAAGTTGTTTTCACCTTAGATTTTTGATTGATGAGTTTTTGTTTTCCAGAGGACTGATCAGAATGAGAAAGTGACTAAGTACTATAATAAAACATAATGTACCTAACTGTGACTTAGTCATCAAGGAAATTCAAAAGTATGTGAAAATAAAACTGAAAACTTAAACATTTACAGTTAATTAGTCTAAGTGATACTAGCAGAGTCAGTCAGTACATGTCTCCTTAATATAAGACTTTTAATTATTTTTAGAACAAAGCTTTATTTACGAGTTTAATCAAAGGAAACCATAAAACACTGCCTCCCTCGTTCAAACCATTTAAACAATTATGATCACCTTATTTTATTACTATTTTTCTGCCTGGAATTAGCATATTACAGCACTAAGTCAACACATAAATACCAACGAATTCTGTTGGTATTTTATTAGGATTACATTAAATTTATAAATTACTTCAGGGAGAATTGACATCTTTATAACATTATTATAAAATTGAGTGTTTTTATTCCAGGGCAGTTTTTATCCATTTTATCAAGTCTTCATTTGCATCCCTCAGGAGTGTTCTAAAGTTTTCTTCATTTTAGTCTTGTGCATTTAATAAGTTTATTCCTAAGTATTTCATCTTTTTCCTATCTTTAAACATCCTGCTTTGAGTCCTACGTGACTCTAGCTACTTAGTTCTAAAGTTTATGTGAAAAAAGAAACGATAATAGTCAGAAAAACTCTGAAAGAAGAGCTATGAAAGAAGATTAATTCAAACAGATACTAAGACATATGAAGCCCTGATAATGAAACTGTGGTACTGGGATATGGACAGTAAGATTGACCAGTGAAACAGAAAGTCAAGAAACAGACCCCCAAATCTGGGAATGTATCAGATAATAAAGGCAGTACCTCAAATAAGTAAAAGATGGGCTATTTTATAAACTATGCATTCAGGAAAAATAAAGTTAGAATCATTTTTCCACCATACATCAGGATAAATTCCAAGTACATCAAATGTTAAAACATTAAGATATTAAAGTCATGAAGTTATTAGGATTAAAATGGGCACTTTGTTTAACCTCAAGTTATGAAGAAAGTCTTTTCAACTACACCTGAAAATCAGAACCCAGAAGAAAAGATTGGTACATTTGACATCAGAAAATAAAAATCTTTAGGGAACAAAATACTATATACCAAGTAGAGAGAGCAACAAAACAATGAAAAAAATATCTGTAACTCATATCAGAAATGATAGGCTAATTTCCCTAATACATAAAAACAGCTTCTAGAGACCAATAAGAGAAAGACTAATAGAAAAATGTACAAAGTCTATGATTTGACAGTTTACAGAAAAATATATAAATGACCTGCATAAAAATAAAAAGATGCTCCAACTCAATTTTGACCAGAGAAATGCAACTACAAAATACCCTGGATGATATTTTTTAACTAGAAGATTGGCATGAATTCAAAAACAGTTTGATAAGAAACTCCATTGGAAAGAAACTGTTGAATCCTAAGCCCTGTGGAGAAATTTTACACTTCTGAAACACAGGTTGTATTAACTACTCATACGAATGTGTCAGCTACTCACATGAAGTACGTAGTCATATATATGTATTACTTACTAAAAATTAATAAAACGCATATTTATATTGATATTTTAAGATAGAAAACAGTATTTGTTTGATATTGATGAAAAGTAACTGTAAACATTAAGTACACTGCAATAAACGACAACAAAGAGTATATATAAAGTCCAGCTGGATATTTTCATCCCAAACTTCATTTGCTTTCTTTCATTAAAAAACATCTAAATAAGACCTTCTTTTTGAGGTCATCAGAAAGATCAAAGAGAATAAAAAATGGAATAACTTCTTACCATTAAATTCAGTGTTCCTGTGTGTCATGACTAAGTTCTACCTAAAATAATCTGGTATACCTTCAGTAATACACCTGTCGAGTTTCTGTGATTTTAGATATTATATATTGTGGGGATGCAGGTAGGGAAGAATATTATGACTGAAGTTTTAAGTCTGAGTGCTTTAGGGAATAGTGGAAGTGTTAATAGAAATGAGTAAATGAGTAAATCAAAGAAAATATGATACATGTAGGAGAGAATGAATTTGGCAGGACAGCTTCCAAATAGAAATGGGCAGTAGGCAGGGACCAATAGAACTGAAATTAGGAACAGAAAAGTCACAAAAAAAGAACATTTAAAAAATACAAGTATATTAACAAACAATACCTACCAGCCATTTTTCATACTCATCAATAGCTTGTTTATCTTTATCTTTTTTCTCAGCTCTTTTCAGTTCTTCTTTTCTTTTCTCATTTATTTTTTCTTTTTCCTTTGCTTTGAAAAAAGCTTCTTTTTTTTCATTCCTATGTAAGATAGCACAAAATACTGGAAAGTTATGTATTCATATAATAAACATTTCCTGATATACCTTTGCAATAATGAGAATGAGATGCATTAGTGAATTTTGAGTGAAAAGCTTAAAGTGTTCTTAACTTAAAATCTATCAAATATTTATTATTTTGGATTACCATTTTTCCACAGCAGTCAGGTTATCTTTCCTTTTCTCAGCAACAGTTTCCTCCTCTTTCTGTTTCTTGGCTTTTTCATATTCTTTCTCCTTTCTGTTTTTCTCTTTAAGATATTCCATTTTTTTCTCTTTCCATCTTTCGAAAGCCTAAAAAAGTGTGGAATGATTTTACTTACTGCCAATGTTGTAAAATAAGTAAAGACACAGTTAATCACTAATTTAGATTTCAAATATTTAAAAATAATTAAGATATCCAAAGCTGTTGAATACTTGTTGTGCTTCTTCTTTTCTCGCAGCATTTTCTTCTTCAGTTTTCTTCTTGTTTTTGTCCTCGAGCCTTTTTTTTGCAGCTATTTTCTTTGCTTCCTTTTCTTTCATAGCCTTCCAGGCCTCAAATGATGCTAAGGCTTCTTCTCTCTTAGCAGCTCTTTTCTATTTTCAGAAAAATAATAGACAGTTATATACATATGCATGAACAGCTAGACAAATATAGACAGATACAGATATACACATATGTATTTATTTCGATTTCCTCAATATTTGTTATATGTAAAAATTAAGTTTTAAGATAATTTATTTGGAATGGTTAGACAAGTTAATTTATGAAAAATATATTCTGAAGTATTCACTGTATTTTAGAATGTCATTTTCTAAAAAACATTTATCAGATATTCATCTGCTACTATTCTTGAGAAGGAAATTGACTTTTTTTTGCAAGTGTACTAAACAAACGTCACCAAAATAAACTATAACAGGAGAAGTGGGTACTGTACAATGTTCATAATAAAATATCTCAGTAAAAGAAAAACATTAAGAAAGTTCTAGGCTTATTAAGTATGTCAGAGTAAGGTAAATTGGCCAAGTCACACAGTAATCCGCCGATCTTTACTTTGAACTGAATTTTGACTGTTATCGAAACATAAAATTCTCACTACATAAACATATCCCAAATGCTGGAAATGTGTGCCAGACTGGAAAATATGTAGGTGAGTGTACAGCAAGGATGTCATTACTCTACTTCAATCTAATCTCATAATATCCTGTGTTTGCCTTAATTTGGTTTAACATTAAATGATATAAAGCCTTACTGTGGAGCTAAAGCCATTCAGAAGTAAAAGTATTACGTACCTCACTGAGCTGTGAAGATCAAGTGAGACGTGTCTGGCCCTGACCACAGCAGCAGAGTGCTGCAAACGAGGAGACAGGCGTCCAGCCATGTCCCTTGAAGGGCTGCTCCATACAGTATTGTGCATTTGGGACATATGTTTCTTCCTAAATTTATTTTAGTATTAAACGGTACGATGAAGAAGTATGTTTTTCAGGGCTTTTATTTTAGAAGATGGGAAAGAACTGAACTATGTTGTAAGTTATCAGGCAGGAGTCAGAGGTGGAGACTAAACAAGGGTCCATCTTCAGTGGATGGAAAGGATGCGGGTCAAGAGCTTAGGTATGGGTTGGTCATGTAGACACATATTAAGTTCAAGGTAGAAAAGAGGAAAACTGAAGGTTAATGTTTGATAATCTTTTATATTCTTGGCTAAATTGTGAGATTGAAGCCAATTTTTAAAATTAAATCTATTGGGGCAACATTGGGTAATAAAATTATATTGGTTTCAAGTGTAAAATTCAGTAATACTTCATATGTATGGTGCATTGTGTGTTCACTACCCAAAGTCAAATCTTCCATCACCGAAGCGTCTTTCAATAGATGACTGGATGAAGAAGATGTGGTACATAGAAGCGTCTTTCAATAGATGGCTGGATGTAGAAGATGTGGTACATAGAAGCAACAAAGCCAGTTTGAAAGACTGAAGTAGGCAGGTGAAACAACAAAGCCAGTTTGAAAGACTGAAGTAGGCAGGTGATCGCAAGCAATAGTAGTTCATAATCAGTAGTACCAAAGCTATTCTACACATATGAAAAATAAAAATCTCTGTGTATCTGTGTTTTCATATAAAATGGTTATATTTTTATCAAACTAAAAATGTATATAGTACCAGAGAAATAAAATCAGAAATAATTCTTTTATATATGTTATTTTGCCACTTAAAAAACAGTTGATTTAGAAATGTTAAATATTCAGAGATATTTTACTGACTTAAAAATCCAGAATATTTTTAACTTCTATATTTTAGAATACCTGTTCATTTTGGATCCTTAAGTTTTCACTTTCAATCCTTTTAATTCTGTGCTTTTCATGTAAATATATATTTTTCTTTTCTAACCACTCCTGTGAGAACAAGGAAAAAAGCTATATGATATTTAAAGTTTCCCAAAATGAATTTTGAATTCTTACTTATTTCTGAAATATTTGATTAAAACTTTAAAAAAGCAAACCACAAAGTTTATAAAATCTATATAAGCTAGTATCATTTTTTCTTTTTTTGGTAATACTCTAATATATAAATCTGAGTATGAATTCAGAAAATTATATGTATGTTATCTTTCTTAGTATTAACAACAGACTTCAAAGATTGAATATATTAATATTTTGCTCCAAAATTCACATGTACAATTTTCTGAAGTATATTATTCTGTATAACAGATAAGACAAAAAAAGTGACCTCTTTTGGAATTGTGAAAAAATTAGAAAAGTCTTTTTCTGTGTAAGCCTAATTCAAATAGAAAATCTCAGGAAAGAAAAAATTTAAAACATTTTGTTCATAACAATATAAATTTTAAGAGAAAAAGTATAAAAACATATATAGACCTTAACAGTATTTTTGCTTTTGCTATATTTTTATAAATTGCAATAGCATATTCTCTTAAAACAAACAAACAAACAAACAACAAAACCTGCTATGGCCAATTAAACAAAGCTTGGACGAAAATAATTTAGTAAAATAAAGGTGTTATAAAGAGAAATCTCTTCCAGTATTAAATCATCATTTGACAGGGTTATTTTATTCTTTAATAAACAGGTAATCTTATGTAAGTGATTAATTCTTCTAATTTAAAAAAATACATTTTTCCTTTTTACCTGATAAACAGCTGCCCTTATGTTATCTGCTCTGTCAGGTTCTATATTCTGTTTCTGTAAAGGCTTTTGGTCCAATATTTTCAAGGTCCCTAAATAGTGAGAAGAGGTAGTTTTCGATGGAGTTCTCCTTACAGAACCAGAATTCTTTAAAAACTCAGAGGTCATTAATCTGAAAAGATCCAAATGAATCAAGATAAAATATTACAATTGTACTTGGTAGGAGAAAGATTCATTAGAATTTGCAACTACTATATATTTGAAAACTACATTATAATTAATATAATTACTTTGAAAATGATGCAAAGCTTTTTTTAATTTACAAAAAGCCCCATGCAACATAATTTAAAATTTATAACTTTAAGTTACATAGCTTCAAAGTGGTTGCTCTTTTTAGGTATTTTTAATTAGAATGTTTTCAAGAAACATAGACTATATCTCAAGTTACATGGAAAAATATTAATAAAGTAGGTTTAAACAGTTTCTTGTATTATTTTGTTACATAAACCATTCTAAATATAAAGTTAGAGCAGTATACTCTATTTCGGGAGTTGGCAGAAAAAACGTGGCCCACCATTTGTTTTGGTAAATCAAGTTTACTGCATCACTTACATATTGTGTACAGCTGTGTTCTTACCATGACAGTACAACCGAGTAGTTAAAACAGACTGGGTGGCCTACGAAGCCTAACGAATGCACTGGCTGGCGACTTGCTGTCTTAATGATCATTCAGTTAATAATATTTAAAGGATTCAGAAGGTTTGGATTAGCATTTATGAGTTAGTATTCATTATCCTCATTCTCATCAGTGTGAATGCTGCTATAGAGATTCTTTCCATTTTAATAAACCAACTTAGTCCACAGAACCTCAAGGCTATAAGTACAATTTTTCATGTGTTAGACAAAGACACTTAGGAGAGAAGTATAATGCTGGCCTCAATTTTATCATCACTTTATATCTACTGTCTCAGGAAATACAGGAGAAAGAAACTCTATCTCAGAAGTAATGTAGGCTATAGAGAATCCTTAATCAATTCCTTTTTTATAAAGAATATAATGAACTAAGAAGGGTTTTATCATGAAGAAACTATTCCATTCATCTCATGAGATGGAAATTAAAAGAAAATTGAGTAACACTAAATGCAATTTACTTTACAAAAGTTAAATTAAAACTAGCTTTGTGGAATGTAAACTCATAAATAAGAGATAATAAGAACTTTATTACCTGCTTGATGCACTGGATGCTCTGTTATTTGTTGACTTTTTATTCTTCATATTTCTATCTTCAATTGTTTTCTATTAAATAGAAAAAGCCATAGATAGATTACTCACCATAACTGTCACAATTAGGCTTATAGGGTGAGTCAATGTTTTTCAAGCATTTACTAAGAGTCAAGTACAGTGGTCACCGTAAAACAGATAAGGATAGTACATTTTAGAGAGAACTGACTGACAATAAACACAAACACATGCGACATATGAAGGAGATGAACTAGGGTCCCGTGACAGAGAGTGACAAGAGTGAAGCTGAGGGGTCACTTTAGTGAGGGTGACCAGAGAAGGCCTCCCTGAGTGCTTGACGTCAGAGCTCAAGACAAACGATGAGTAGAAAGGGGCCACATGAAGGTCTGTGGAAAGAAAGCAACAGTAAGT